CAATGCCACATTGATCTTTCTTGTTTCGACTCATCAAAACGTAACCATCCATACCCCACTCTGTACCCCAGGAATTTTTTCCTATGTAATAATCTTGCTTCTTTGTACCATTTTTTGCTATGCCATATCCGACAAGAACCAAGGTGTGATCCAAATTTGTCGTACATTTAGGCTCATCATACACACCAGATGAATAGAACTGGAAGGATGTCTGGGAAGCATCCATTGCGCTCGAAATCGGTCCCACTGTGGCAATAGCTATTGTCAGTGTCGTTTCATTTCCTTTTGGAAGATCAACAAAACCCTATGAGAAAACATATATTCAGAAGAAAACAAGAAAAACATATAGAGAAACTGACTGTATCGGTAGCGCCCACATTCGCTCGTTTGAAACGACATTTGCCATCCTGTGCTTCGTACGGATAGCTTTCTTCCGTATCTATACCTTTGTTGTCCTTGATATATTGAAATGAAGCATCCATTAATCCTCCATTGCAGCCCATATTACCATATTTGCCGGAACAATCCATTAGATTCTGTGGTGACAATGCCACCAATTGACCTGTCTTTATGAAATGTTGTCCTTCAAGTGCTCCTACTGCTGTAAAAGCCCAACACGAACCACATTGCTGCTGATTTCCCACTGGAGTGACAGCGCCAGCTTTGCGCCAGTCTAGCGACAGAGAGAAAAACTTTGCTGTGATATTGTCCTTACCAGAAGAAAGCAAAGTTTGTACTATTATGTGCGATTCTATCACTTTTTTATGAGGGATTTTGTCTTCAAATCTACTCTAGCAAATACTTGAAAGTGCTCACCAACTTCAGCAGGCAAGTTCAACGGTGAAAGTGCGGGTGGACGATATGTATGGCGATGAAAATTGTTTGATGCTGATAAGGCCATTTTCAGGTTTAATCCGCCAAGCATCTTTTCTACAAACTCATCGTGTGTCTGCACATGATAGCAGGACGAGATATGAAAGATATGAAAAACAAAATTTTTGCAGGTAGATACGTACCATATCGCCAAACTGGTTGATTTTTAGTATGTATGAGTGTAGACCCTTGCTTGCCTCATGATTGTGTCGATCAATCATAGCTGAATTCTTTTCAAATACCACCCGGCTAGAGAAATTAAAATCAATATGGCAGATCGGCAATTTCGTACATTGTGAAACTCTCACCGATATTGTTCCTCTGTAGCACTAGCATATTGTTTATTGTAAGTCTGTTTGAACAAAGTCCATTTTGTTGCGTGAATGCGTTTGTTGAAAGTTTGACTGCTACTGAAAGCGACGAGAAAGAACAACAGAATGCTACTGACGAAATAACGTTGCATGGTTGTATGATATGAGAAAATTGCGTTATGCACACCTTTAAATACACGAAAGGTAACATCTTTATTGATAGTTTTATTATCACCATCATCATCATGATTATCATATCACTACAGTTTAGCGTCCTACTTCTTTAAAACTAACCTGACAAGTCGAATTTCACAACAGTTCTGCAGTAATTTCTTGTGTAATACAATGCACTGATCAATATTTTATTGAAATTTGTTAGGAATATCTTAAGATCTCTTGTGGGTTTGGAGATAGGTATTCACCTTCAAAGACTATGATATCGTGTGTATATCGCAAAAAAAACAATTCGCGAAACTACTAACCAGTAAAAGATATTTCAGTGAAGGCGCAAGTAGCAAGGGTATGGATGTGGATGTCGGTGTGGATGGGTGTAGATGTGCTTTTATTCATGTTCTTGTAATACCCACACCCACATCAACACCCTTATGGATTTTTCTATTGCTTTTCTTTATTCAATAAATGTTTTATCGATACTATAAATTGTTATAATGAAAATGAATATTTTTCCTTTTCGATGTTTTTCTTTCAACGGTTTTCTTTCGACATTTTTGCTTTTCTTTCTTTTTCCATCATACCGAAAACACTATTGTTCTTAGAACATGCATTACATGAATAAATGTTTAAAAACAAAAATTAGAAAGTTCTTTACGAAAGTATTTTGTAAAATTCTTTCAAGAAAACATCGAAAACAAGAGAAGAATAAACATTTCTTCTCTTCTTTGTACAATAATTGGATTTGTTGAAGTTTTTCAAGAGTAGCGCTTAGGTTTTTAGTAAGAGACTACCTCTCAAAAAGTTTTGAATAGAATTATCTGACGAATTCAAATTTGACAATAATAAATCTGTGTCTGGGAAAAAACTGGGATCATGAGAAATCGTTACGTACAGAAAATTCAAATTTCTGCACTTTAGTATCCGATGCATGGCACAAGCTAAAATTGATTTTTACACGAATACAACTACATATAGTAATTTTGTCTTGGGTCATCGTCGTTTCATTTGAATTTCCTGAAAATAGGAACATACTTTGTCATGGAAAAACTTCCTTATAGTGAAAGATATGTTCCAATTTCATAAAGAATCACATACGGAGCTTCTGTTAAAAATAATACAAAGTTGACTTGATTTTTATGAATACATTTCGATCCTTTACAAATAATTGAACTTTCTCATTAGAAACTTTTATCATTATATAACTAAGTCTATTCTGAAAATCATCATGAAACGTGATTACATCATGGATGTTATCATTGTCATACTGTTTTTTAATCAAATATTAGAAACGAATGAATCAAATGAGTATGCATATTGTTTTTTATTTTATAGTACGTTTCTCGTTATGCTACTGTGTAGGTGGCACGAAACATCGTGGAGAGAATATATGCTAAAAATCATGTAGATATATTGATCAAAGATAATAACTTTTCTTTATGTGTCGATTTTATATTAATCATGCATCGGTAAATGTATATAGTAAATAAACACGTGTGAGACACAACATCGTTGATGATTTTACTATTGATCAATCATAATTTATCAAATACGTCCGTAGCAGGGAAAGATGCCAACCAGAGTGCCAAAGAGTCTGCCTTTTTGTTGGCCTGACCTGTTTATCTACTTTTTTTACGCTAATATCATAATAACAATAAAATATAATCAAGTATTAGTCTTTAGAGGAGGTTCAAGAAGTCAATGGATTCAGTTTAGATCACTCCAGTAAAAATTCTCTAATGTGAACATTTAAGAAAATCTTTAGAAGTTTTCTCTATACAGATGTATTCCTTTTTTTTATGTGCATCATAGCATGTAAGAATAGAAACAGCAACAAATTCCCTTTAGGAAGTTTATTCTAATTCGAAGAAGTCAAAAAATCATTCATATTTCACTACAAAGAGGCTTTCACTAAGAAGTGATCGATTTCAAACAAAAATTGATGGTCTCCAACCGAGGTTGTTCACTTGTAATGAGATATCCACATGGCTGAGATGTTGATAGTGTACGTTTTTATCCTAAATTTAATAAAAAATTGAAAAGGAAGGTATATAAAGGAAAATAAAGCAATAACCGGGCATTAATACTGAGAAAAACAATCCGATTTATGTCCTAGAACAGCCTGTAAACAAGAATCTGGCAGAAAAAAAATGTCACTCACAATACTACAATCAAGAGAGAAACCAGACACAGCAACTATGAAATCTGCAGGGTGTGGGCGTCTGTCTTATCTTCAACCACACTCACATGAACACTCGCCTCCACACCCATTCACATCTACACCCCACCCTCTTTCATTGCCTGTAATAAAAAAAGTAGAGGTCAACATTTTCCACAGTATGGGCTCTTCATGCACGATTTTTTCATGGATGATCCCTTAATGGCGAAATATCCAATATCCATCTGACAGGATGAGCCCGCTTGATTTTTTTTGGAAGAAAATTGAAAAGTTACAAGATCTAATAAAGTGGATGAAGAAAGACAGATATTTTTTAAGTGGTCTAGCAATGCAAATGCCGTCACTTTCTCACTAGTCAAGCAATCACGCATGTAAGCTAAGTTGAATTCTCATTATTGTGTATGTAAAAATCGAAAGAAAAAGTATCGAGGTTTATCAATTTGTTTATGTAAACATGACATGAACGTATTCAAGCCGCCTGTACCAACCATATCGGTTGTTCATTTAACATCCATGATTGCTTTTTATTTTCACGAAATAAATCTTGATGCACCTGCTGATTAATGTATTTAGATTCTGTAAAAGATGTATAAACAACTAATGAAAACAACTTTGTGGTGTCACGCTATTTTAGATCGATATAATGATTAACTATGATTTTTAAACTGCTATTCAGTAGAAATAAGAGGAAAAGGATCAAAGCTGGTTTTTGCTGGTATATTATCTATAAGTAGTGATTGAGACTGGTAGATAATTCGCTGATATTTTCAACCAATCTATTGAATGTTTCCCATATACAGTCATCATAAAGAAAAATTTTGTTTAGTTTCCGTTCCAATTTGATCTAAGAATAGATTTATGTCATTCAAAGACTTCAGCATACAACTGATTATAATACGCACCAGTTTCAATAATTCTTCCAATATGAATATTAAATCATCTTATTAATTGATGAAACATTGAAGTTGTTTCAATTTCAAATTTGAAAAAAATTAAGGAAATTGGTCGAGCTAATGGGAATAAATGTTGCAATGAATATTTGTATTATCACAGTACATCATAATAGTTTATTTTTCAATCATTCTATTTAAATATTTTCACAAATGATTATTGACAAAGAATAAAATTAAAATTCTTCTTGAAATTGTTATTGATATAATGTCGTTAGATGAGATAGTGAAGTCAACACCTGCAAGAGTATCGTTCTGAAGAAACTACTCGATTAACTCATCAATCTCGGCGAAATCATTCAATAATAAAAATGCAATAGTCATTATTGCCTTTATTATATGAAAGTAGGTTTACTTCTTTTTACAATATTTTCATTAAAAAAGAGCCTTGTAAGCATCAGCTGTCGAATGTCATAGAACGATTGTAAAATATTCGACAGGTGATGGTTTAGAAGGTTCTTTTCTATATAAAATTTTTTCAAACTTGCGATCTATTTGCTTATAACGCAAGTAATGATGACAGTTGTAGTTTTATTATTGAGTTTATTATGGATTGGTTTAACAATGGGTCAAATTCCAAACCCCAATCAATATCGATTTACCTTGACAACAGATGGTAGAGCTCAAGAACGCTATGCCATTGATAAACCAGCTGGTAAAATGTCTCGTTTATGGTACTCGAATGATGGCGATGAAGAGTTTGGTGGCAATCAAGATATATATGTACGTGACGATGCTCGCACTTATCTTTTTAATTTTATGTCGAAACCACCACAATGCATTGCCAACCGAGGTGGTCCATACAATGAAATGAATTATTGGCCAAATCTCGTTCAATCATTTGGTGGTGAACAGAAAATATATGATGAGTTGATATTTGATTCCGATTGTGATGGTACGTGTCTTACTTGGAAAACAGAATTTAATGAAACATACCATCATTATCGATATGTAAACCGATTGTATGTCAAAAAAGCCGAACAAAAACCAATCAAAATAGTTATGAGAAAATATGATCTGGATACAGGAAAACTGCTTTCAACAACTGTTACGAGATTTGCCAATTGGATAACAGGCAAAGTACCGGATTATGAATATGATTATCCAATGGACTTGAAAACATGTTACAAACCATAACTTTTCTTGTTTTTTTCTTCTACTCATGAACAATAAGAAAATATTGATATAAATCAATCAGCATTCGAAAGAAGAAAAATGAATTTTACTAACGAGGAAAGGCGAGTGTGGGGTGTGGATCGCAGTATGACTGTGGGTGTGAGTATGAGTGTCGATGTGGAAGTGGATCAAGTTTTTCCCTGCAACCATATCCACCATCACCTCTCAAACCCACACAACTTTTTATCATGATAATATTTCTATCCAATTTGCTTTTTAAATACAATGTTACGCTACAGGACACAATTCTAACGTGAAATCGAGGCAAATTCGAACGAAAAAGACATTTTTTGTTGAAGAATTTCGTCGATTATATGCTGAAGAACAGTCAGTGCTTCGTGTAATTATATGAATTTGACAGAACTTATGTATCGAAACGAGCCATTTATTGGTACACGCGTAATGGTTTGCTCTACAATTTTCTTAATCAAGCTATGCATCAACAGAATATTGAGGCATTAATGCTCTTAGATTTCTTTATTCGAGACTTGGACGTACAACTTCTTGCTGAAGTGGATTAACAAGAAAAAGATGAGTGGAAGCCAAGAATCGATCTCTATCATGGTCAGCGACTGTCTTTAACTGAAATTCAAGATATGAAAGCAAGTTATCAAGACTGCTTTTTCTATAGTTTTATTTCAACAAACAGCAAATATCGAAGTTGCTCGCATATTCTCAGGAACAGAACAAATTGTGAAACATGAGCCGATTCAACCTGTTATTTTTCATTTTGACTGTTCTATGATGAAACTTACCAGAGGTGTTGCGGATATTCAACATCTAAGTAATAGTGCAGAAGAGGAAGAAATTCTCTTTTCTCCTCTCTGCAGTTTCGCTGTCAGAGATGTCAATTATTATGAAGATGAGAAGGTTTGATTTGTCAAATGTGATATACATATGTGGTGATGAGACTAACTTGTCGTTATTATTGCATCAACGCTTAATTAAACTCGACATTGCTATTCGAGTGCTGAAAAACAGTGTTTCGTTCGACAAAGATTCTGTAGAAACAACCTGTAAAATATTTTCTGATGGTATGCCTGCTCTATTAAATGTACTCGTCATTCCAGAAGCCAATGTTGTGGCATTGGATGAAAACATCCAAGTACAAAAGAATACCAAACATGCAGTCACTGCACTTTTCTTCTCAAAAGACTACAATATTTCAATGCTGATTCACTCGTTCACAAAGCGGTCATTCCAAACGATGCACTGGCTGCACTCTGGGATTGTTTGACGACGATGTGCAACGAAAAAGGTGAACTTCAACGTGCCTTGAATTACTTCAAGAAAGTAGATGCTTGTGTTCAGAAAATTATACCAACGATTCTTGCTCGTAAGGTAAACCAAAGAGTAATTATTTGTAACAGCTCCAACTGAAGGTTTCTCATGAAAGAAGTAATTCACTGAGACTCTACTCTAAGGATTTCAATAGAAATATTGCAATGCTGATGCTTCCACCTCTGCGCCTAACGTGTTTGATTCTTTTCAATGGTGAAACCCGATTAATAATATTTCAAGCTTTAGTTTTGTAGTAACTTTTCTATTTCATGTCAATAATAGCGAGACGGATAGAACAAAATTTTACTTGAATGGTACTACAAATGTTCATTTCCGTGATTATTTAAAAACCAAGAACTAAAGCATATGAGATAACTACAGTAACTATAGTAGATATATTCATATTTTCATTAGATATTCCTAAATCCGTCGACAACCAGTAGACCTAAAGGAGAATTGATCTTGCGTGAAGATGTAAACTGAGACCCACGTGATTTATAACTAGGTACAAAAGAAGCTTTGCAGGTAGCGGGTCTAATGTTTCGAACATTCTCAAAACGCTTACAAAGTTCATTTGAATAGAGGAAGAAACTTAAAAGTGACAAAAATTCATCTATTGACAACTTCTAAGTTTCCCCATGATCGTTCTTTTTGTTCTTGGTGAAGACAGAAATGACAACTAAATTCTTTTTCGAAAATATCAATAGTGATGGACTTCAGTTGATCAACATGTATATCTAGTCTTCAATCACTTAAAAAGTTTCTCGATGACAAAATAGTATCAAAATTGTAAAAAAGCTACCTCTTGCCCTCACAATTAATAAGAACAAATAAACTCTCAGGAATATATGAAAAATATCAGCATCACAATCGTCACAAAGAAATAGTTCTTCTTTTGTATTTTTCATGTGAAGATAGAAAATATTTACAGTATTTCATTCAGCACAGTTTCATCGCAGGTGAACATGACACAAGTTCACAGAATGATGGGTAACCATGCTCGAGCGTGGTCTATGGATCAACAACTATCAGATGAATACTTCGATATTCCAGATAATGATACTTATCATGTGCTTGATGAGATTGCAACTGATATGCCACATGTAGAATCGGAAAAAGCAATGGAAATTTGGTATCCAAATATTTTTAATTATCTGGAGTATGTTCTTATACAAAAATATAGTTCTCTGTGACATGCTTACTGGTACCTTGCTCACAACAAACAAAGTGCTCTTCTCTGCTATGATCGATGGAAATAACTGCTGGAATAAAATCATGAGTTGCTGGGCTAATTCTTTGTCTATTTGGCTCAAAAATGTTTTAAAGATGATCCAATACGAACAAAAAGTCTGTATGAACAGGCAATTGTCGAGCTATCAATTACAGAAGAAACATGGGCTTCGGAGCTTGCTATTTGCTATAGTCGTCTTGGTTATTTACAAAAGAGAAAACGCTTTTTCATTCAATGCTTCTATCTACTTACCTATGTTGAAGATCTTTCGATTTTGTTACACAACCATTTAGAAGAAATCGCTGAATGCTACTTATATTTAATGAAATGTTATGATCAAGCTGACTTCATGGTCATGAAGACAACTGCTCGAAAATTTTGCGAACAAGCTCTACGTCTCTTTCTAAATGTGAAACCACCAAATTCGAACTTTCGAGAAATGCTGGAATGCGTTGAACTACTTCTTAATCTCCAAGAAAATAATGGTAAACAAAGTTTATTTTTTGTGCAACAGCTGCATTACTAATACATATCTTCTTTAGATGAAGTCAACGATCTTAGAACGACCAACAAGATCGACTTATTGCAAAGAATGTACGACGATGTGTCGATTACTGAACAAGAACCGAAGCACATGCTCGACAGAACTCTCCATATCCTTAATAGGAAAAATTTCATCTCAGAATCAATGACGGAGGAAATAAGTATTGAGAATATAGAATAGATAGCGTTATCAGCAGATCAATTATTAACTTAATCGATCAATTTTACATTTGTTAGTTTTCGTCGAATTCAGACATCACTGTGAAATTTCTTTCAATCAATATTTTCGCATTTAATCAATAGTGTCGAAAATAGGTTCTTCTTCGATTGCAGGATGTAGGTGTATAAAATTACACCTACACCCACAGCCATGTCAGGATTCCTGTTCCCTTGAAGTTCCGCTCCCAAGAAACACAAAAAGACTTTAGAATTGATTTTTAGTGTTTTTAACCACAGCAGGATGATTACCAGACTTTAACTTTCCTTGCTCAAGAAGTTACCTAGTTTTCCTGGACTTTTGAGAACCCGAAACCACCTGTCGGTTCGCAACAACGGGAACCCACAAGTAGTTTCGGATTCTGGGGAACGCAACCGAAAACTGACACACCTAATCTCAACAAATCAAAATATTTTTTTACAACTTTTTTTAAGAGTTCGACGGTGCACCTTTGAAAAAATGCTTTCAGAAGAGTTTCAGTAGCATTCGAATGAGAAAAACAATGGAGCTGCTTTAGTAATTAGGAAGAGACCTCGCTATACCTATTGTAGTTGGTTTCCAAACTAAGACCAGCATGCTAAACATTCTCTTTAATATTACAAGCCGTGAGAAATGTATCGAGATGTGAGTCACGGGCTGTTGGCAGAATAGTAGATCAGTTTTCTCGCTATATACTTCAACACTCATTTTCAATCGCGTTTCACAGAAGATTAAGATTCTAGCTATTCTCGGTATAGAGTTATGTACAGAATAAAGTGTATGACAAATATTTCGAAGACCCGTTATTCATAATTAGCCCCTATGAAATTTCAAATCCATTACTGCTAGAGTAGTTTTGCTGTTATCATCCGGTTCTTCTTCCGGAAATATTAGATTAAATGCACTTCATAAATAAAAAGTTGCCATTCTATCTGTTAATAGATAACTCGGGCATTGGAAAGCTCTTTTTTATGCTATCTCAGCGACAACGTGGCAGTGGTAGATTCTCTGCCTCCCTTGACATTTCTGGTCCGAATAAACTGAAATTTGCTAATGATGTTTATCAGAAGCAAACGGGTCATAAAGTTGAGGCAAACAATTGACGAATGTAATCCCCTGAAAACATTACTGGATTATTATAAATTTATCATAAACATCAAAAACAAAACTGCCAGTGGGGCAGAGAAAAGTATAGTTCAAAAAGAGTGTCCAAGTTAAATGCAGTAGGGTCGGTCGTTCTCCCCTAATCTACAAGATGATGGACAAATTTCAATCGAGATCCATCGATTTTGACCAACACATTGCACGATGCTTGCCAAATGACTGAAATTACATTGATAACTGCCACGAAGTACACATTGGTCAGTTGTTGTCATGCAGTCACAATAGCGTCGAAAGAATCGTCGCCATGTTGCTTGTTGCAGCTGATTACTTTGATCAGAAGAAGACGGATAGAAATCCCGTTGATTTAACTCTACAAATATCATCATTATTTCGAAAACGAATTCCAGTTTCTATAGAGTGGTGGCCATCGTATCTTACTCTTGGTAAATTAGAAAATGCATATCATGGATGTGTTTTATGAAAAATAGTCCATTTTCTTTCTCTATCTATATGTTAGTAATGCAAAGTTCAGTTCGCACCATTATGCTTCCTAACAATAGCATGTTGAAGAAGAAAGAACACAAACCTTTGTCTGTTATTCGAATAGTTCCACAGGCGATTCGAGCACCTGCATGACTACAGAAATCAAAATGAGTACTATACCAATCATCAATATTTCGTCTGTTTCTACCCTGTTGTTTGACTATCACTATACGTGCCACGACCAAGATCATCCGTGTCTTTGTGAACAACAATTGACTTGTCTAGAATTGAGCTTGTTGATTTAGTATGTAATTGAATAATGGAGTCTTCAAAATCAATTATTGCACAGCCAAATTGATCAGACCTAGAAAAGACAAGCGTAAAGAAACAATCAACATGTATTGTACGAGGAAATGCTCACCAAATATTACCAAGATCTCCAACATGTCTTCGTTCGATGGAATCGTATCTACCACCATGGATTTTACCTAATCAAGCATTCAAATATATTGAAAAAGAAGAAGAAGAAATAGTACCATAAGGATTCCAATGATCACCTGCTTTGCTGCAATTCCATTCGCCATCGGGTAACGCCAAGGTATGTACATGAAATCCATGATATTTCGTATTCGGTATCAAATTAAACAGTATACCGGTCACACGAACAGGCGAACCAAGAACATTTGTCTGAGTAAATATTATTGTGCCTATTGACAACGAACTCGAATCAGCATGTAAATCAGCTCTGGCAACCCATGTCCTCAATTCGCGTGGAAAAGATCCTAAAAATTTAAAATAAGATATTAACTGGTTATGCTGCCTATCGACTAATTTCTAATTGAATTGCTTCAAATGGTCCTTGCTCCTATTAGTGATGAATGGACAATGTATCAAGGACGAGCATCGATGTCCTCTCTGAATAGATCTCAATTTGCAAATTTCCGAGAAAGAACGCGTGATTCTCGTTGTCGACCAATTTTCACTGGAACGAGTCGATTCTTGGTATACTTACCATCAATGAAGAAAGTCATGACCCATATGAAGTAATATAATGAAATAAATCTCATCATCGTAAAGAAAAGAATGATCAGAAACTGTTTTGTTGGTTTATTTAGCTTGTTGTCGTCGTATTGTCTCGATAAATAAGAAAACTTATATCTTTTGCGTATCTATATGCGAGTTAAGTCTCACTCTTTGTATGTCATCGACGACAATTGTAGAGGAAGAATCTAGAAAGAGAAAAGAAATAGATAATTTGATAAGACATGGTACATTGAAGAGGAAATCCAAGGCACACGTAGAAATTACTCATTCATTGAATGAAATATGTTTGAACGAAGGAAAATGTTTCTCTTCTCTATAATAATCGATACAATCAGTAACCGTCGGATCATGTTCTTTCCGTTTGATTTCATCAATATGATCATTACTATGGATTATAGATAAATAACCAATGACATAATAGGATTGAGTGGATGTGGGTGTGACTTTTCATTTCACTCTCATCCACATCCACATCCTCTGAATTTGAAAATCAGTTTTTGCTCTAATACTAATATTAACTAATAGGTGATAAGAAGTGCAAATAGATTAGTAGGTAGTATAGATTTAGAACGGATGATTGCCATGTATGGAAATACACAAAAAGGATTGATTTGAATCGAGTTATTTCGTCTTGTTTTTTTTTACGTCGAAAAAATTTCTATTTCCTTTTTGTTTCATTTTATTGTTTACAAACCAGTACAACAGTATATAAAATCAATCAAAAATCGTGCTGAAGTTAATTATATGAGGATTTTCATCATTACTATTGTGAAACAAAATCCAATTTATAATCGATTATAATTTGGATTATGTCTATAGTGTGCCAACAATAACGGCGTGACTTACGTTCATCTTCTATTGGTTCAACGATGTGAAAGCATTCGGTCACTATGTGACAAGATACTCTGACCTCATGAACAATAATATATCGGCCTTCTCATTCTGTTTTCTATTAACTATTTTCTCTCTCCTTTCTCCTTTCCTTTCTCGCATACAAGTTTGTGTTCTATGTGAATCAAGCACAACTGAAGTGATGAAATAGTCTAGTAAACATCTATAGTGAGGGTGGCAGCAACACTACTCTTCCAGTTGTCATTATTGATCATAATAACATACACATTGCAAGAGTAACGCAATAGAACATCATCCCTCTCTCTCTCTCTCTCTCTCTCTCTCTCACACACATTTTCGTTACACATAGAATTTTGAAATTTTAATTTATTTAGGATAATAATAAATTGCAATAAAAATAGTAAAATAAATAAATATAATTATTACAATAAAAATTTA